TTTGAACATAACTCAAATATTATGTTGCTGGCTCAAAGTTGCTAGTTTAGCGGTACGCTAGCGGGTCCCTTGAATTCCTTTTGAACGAATACTATAGAACATTTGATGAGAGAAGACAACGTGTACAATGGTTACTGTTTTATTATGAAATATACTGCTAGATGAATCTAACATAATGGGCATTGAATGGAAGACACGACATTGTTGCTTTGGGCCTTCGTAGTTTTTAGGCCACGCCCCCTTCTGCCATATATGGAAGTGACCCCAAATTTCCCGGCGCCCCCATATCTCCCGGAACACCGGCTTGTCATACACGTCGCTAAGTATTGCCGCAAATTCAAAATACCAGCTTTGTATTCCTGTGGTTCAGTAGCATTTTTAATTTTGGCCGGAATTATTTGTATTCGCCCGCGCGCACTAGTTTTGGGTCTTCAGAGGATGTCATTCATAACATTAGGCCGGTGTAGCCTAAAGAGGAATCGGATACGTGATAGAATAAAGAGACTCCTTTCGTTTCACGAAAAATAATTTTTGCCTACCCTCTAGCCGATATACTACTAAGAAGTAAGGAATGAATGATCCTCTGACAAGAATTGTTTGGCGAGAATTAAAGTATTTAATGTCGGCAAGGCATAAAGGTAGAGTGGGCAAATAACCCTAGGCTTTTTTTTTTTCATTTTCGTGGTACAGGCTTTTAGAATGGTTTTATTTGAGCTTTTTTGGCTGTGTTATAGAAAATGTACTATGGCAGTGTATGTGTTAGTATGTTTGGGCATGAGTTATCAGAATGGAATGTAGAGCAGGCAAGCAATAGATATGCAGCTTTCCTCTATTCTTCTTGCTGATTGGCTGTTGGGATTTGATCGGGTTAACTCAATTAACACCTGTACAAAGCCCTGCCATATTGACAGTATGACTGCATTCAGGTGCTTTGGTAGGTATGTCAAGCTTTTCTGCTCCCGCATCTTTTATCTTGAAAAACAACAGTTTGCATTATGAAATTAAAAAGCCTACCCAATAATGTAGGAGATAGCTATCCAACTGTTGTCACTTCATACCATAGTTATATCAGTGTAAAAATTGTTTTCCCTTGTGTTTCGCCTTTTTTCCCTGCCATGTCGTAAAATGTGGTAAAGCCATACGCTACACGCTACATTTGCTCCAAAGCAAATGTCGGCCTTTCTTAATTAAACTTTTTTTCGTATACGTACTTTGTCCAATAGTTGTTGCTATACATTGTACGATGTACAATTACCGTGCAATAAAGTTCTCCATGGTGCTCTAAATTTCCCAGGTGCTGATTTAGAGGAATTATTAGGAACCGCGGCAGCTCCACTGCTGTCCAACCTTCGCATGGTTGACAAGCATGTAGACACCTGTCAGAAGCCCATAGTTTGCGCCATCCATGGAACAGCCCTGGGGGGAGGTTTTGAGCTGGCCCTGGCCTCACACTACCGCCTGGCAGTTCCTTCAGCCACGGTGAGACAGAAAAGTTTTTTTTTACATCTTTGTGACTTACTTATTTAGGCCACAGCAAGTAATTTTTATGGATGACATCAGCGCGCGCATTAATTTCGCCTGATTTTGAAAAAAAAAGAAAAAGAAATTTTGTTGCCTTCTGACAGTGGTCACCATGCCGAAAATGGGCAAAGATGTCTGTTGCCATGCCGGAAGGTGGATGGCAGATAACTATGAAGAGAGGAGACAAGACAAGGCTATGATTTAATGTTTTGTTTCTTACTTTAATGCAGTGATATGTGATGCTGACTGTGTATATGTGATGTCCTCACTGAATAAAAACCATTGTACAATGATTGAGTCATTTTTTTTAAATACAGGAACCTTGTTTTTTTTCGGCCCGTCTTGTTTTTTTCACCCTATCGCATTAGATTTGGAGTCTGCGAAGGATGTAATCCATACAATTTACTTGCTGTGGCCTTATTTGGTCCCTTGGCACGGATCATAGGCAACCGTTGACTGTCCACCATACAGCTTGCTTTTGGGCTTCTTTGTGACTGTTATGACAAAAAGTTGTACGGTTCTTATTGGAATTTGTGCAGCTCTTGGCACATTGGCGACACCAAATCCATCTGTGTCCTCATCAGTGTTTGAACACAGTATCAGCCAGGAGCATAAAAGAGATAGAATTTAGCTGCGATTATCATATTATTCAAATCTTTATATAGTAAGCTTTAATTGAAGTCTACATAGGTAGGAAGTATCTTATGGACCCTATGCCTCATGTCTTGCTGTAAGTTCTGGAAGAAAGCATCTCAGTTACAATATATTGAGCATCAACGTTGGGGGATCAGTAAATTAGCTAGAAAGGCTGAAAAGGGACGTAACTACACGTACAAAGAGGAAAATAGTGTAACAAGTGCCCTGGTTGGTCTAACGTAAGTCATGTTAATTAGCATCATGAAGTTTATGTACATCACCAATTATACAGTCATCGTGAATCGGTTCCTGGGTTTTATGAAGCAATGGTACTGTTACAGTCTGGTATTGTTTAGAATGTACCATACTGTATACCATTTACGGAAGTGGACTTTTAGTGTCTTCCTTATGTATATATATATTTTTTTTTTGCGGTGGCGTCGGTGGCGCAACGGTCAGAGCGTTGGACTCGGAGCCGAGAGGTCCCGGGTTCGATACCCACCGTGGCCCGACGTTGTGCCCTTGGGAAAGGCACTTTACACGACTTCCCCACCTATACGGTGGAGTGACGCCCACCGAGCCTCTTATGCTAATCTGTCTATCTGGGTGCCAAAAACACCTTACGGATTTGGTGCGCCGATGTGACAACATCTCACATTAGCCACTGAGAACAGTTAATTGTTTTCCTTATATATTTTGAATAGCTGAGTTTACCTGAGGTGCACCTGGGGATGCTGCCAGGTGCAGGGGGAACCCAGCGGCTGCCGCGGGTGGTGGGGGTGAAGTCTGCCATCCAGCTGATCACCAGCGGACAGGACATCAAAGCACAACAGGTGAGGTCGGATTGTTTCTTTTTAAAATTAAGTTTTCACCTCAAGCAAGGCTCATACGAACCGCTTACATGTTTTGGGCTACGTTAAGGAACTGTGGAGAGAGATATTTTTACCGTAGACTTGAAAAGTTTAAGGTTGTACCCATTTGGAAAGTATCCATATAAGGAAGCCTGTTCCATACTGATGTAGACTTTCTTCTGAGAGATGCAGTATGGAAGAAGAAAGGCATGTACCGCCGTAAGGCCCCATCAAGTAATTTTTAACTTAAGGATGATATCAGCGCGCGCATTAACTTTTGCCCGATTTTGAAAAAAAATGTTTCTGACGTCACGTTCCAAAAGTAGAAAGGTTCATTCCCAATTCGTTGTAGTGTTGGCAGTTAAATTTTAGACTTTATTTCACAATACGCTTGGTTATTTGAATAATTCTCATGTTCCCTCCCAAACCTGTCCTGTGTAGGCCCTCACTCTTGGTCTTGTGGACAAGATTGTTCAAGGTGACCTGCTCAAAGAGGCTGTCAGCTTTGCAAGGTCAGTTGAAGGTCGTCCGTTAGAGGACAGAAGGATCAGTCAGAGGACAGTGCCAGACGCGGACAAGGTATGTTTATGTTTATGTTTATGTTTATGTTTATGTTTATGTTTATGTTTATGTTTATGTTTATGTTTATGTTTATGTTTATGTTTATGTTTATGTTTATGTTTATGTTTATGTTTATGTTTATGTTTATGTTTATGTTTATGTTTATTAGACAGGTCTCCATTAGTTTGTACAGACATGAGTTGCCATACATACTATTCTTCCTGGAGTCATTTCACTACATACTACTATCGTAACAACATGGTCATGCTTATAACTACAACTACATTAAACACACACAACATGCAAATTGTACCGAGAGGTCAGAGGTCTATTATAAAATTAAAAACATTCATATTTACACTTTGTCGACATTTCTAGGTCGACGAGGTCGTGGAGGCAACACGGAAGACGATTTTACGCAAAGCGCGAGGAGCCATTGCCCCATTGACCTGCGTACAGGCTATTCAGGTAAACACAGTGCTGAGTTCTTGAAGCAAAAATGGAAGTAAGGAAGTAAGAATGCAAGAATAAATGAGTGAGTAAATACAAAATGAATAAATAAATGAATAAAGGGCAGAATGACTTTACATGGTTAGCAATGATTGTAACCCTGACTAAATTCACTGTAATACAAGTTACGAAAGCGTTAATTTGGTTGAAAAGGCACAACAACAATAGCATGTGTATATGGTATGGTCCTGTCCTTGGTACTGGATTAATGTTTTATTTCACATACTTGCATCAACACCTCTACCAAGGTGTGTTGTATTGTACTGTTTTCTGAACATTTAAACTGTTTTTTGAACTTCAATCTGTATTTTTGTGTGCAGTACCATGTTCTACTCTGTGCTAGACTGACTGACATCAATAGTAGCACTGTAGTAGTATCATATTTTAGACGTATACAATGCAAATCGTCAAGAATTTCAGATATCTTCGTCCCCTAAAACTACAGATTTCTCATCTGAATTTTAAATGTAAACATTCCTTAACGTATTCCTGAACTTCACTGTAATACAAGTTACAAATGTGTTACTTTGGTTGAAAATGGTACAACAACAGCAATATCATGTGTATATTGTATGGTCCTGTCCTTGGTACTGAATTAATGTTCTCACATAATTGTATCAAATACTAAGGTGTGTTGCAGGCCTGGATATGATGAATATTAAACTACTTTTGACCACTGTACTGTTTTCTTAACACTTGAACTATATCTTGAACTTTTTTGTGCAGTGCCATGTTCTACTCTGTGCTAGACTGATTGACTGTAGTAGTACCATATATCAGACGAATTCGTTTTATATCACCCAGACTTTCAGAGATATTCTTCTCCCAAAAGTGCAGATTTCTCATCTGAATTTCAGATATAAGCCAAATTATTTGTTTATTTAAGATTACCACAAGAAATAAAAGTATACAAGTGGAAGGGAGGACAAAACAGGTGCATTGACACCTTTACAAGTTGTCCTCCCAACACTACATGTACAATGCAAATACAGATCATAATGAATACAAAACAGATATGCAATATTGAACATCATTAACATGAAATATTAAACAATGAACATCAAATGTAATACATTACACATCAAATACTGTACAATACAATGTCAAGAAATATAATACATTATTTACAAAAATATCAATGATATAATACATTATTTACGAAAATATCAATCTGGTATATTTGCACAGGCCTCGGTTCTGCCGTTCGCTGCCGGGATGGCCCGTGAGGCTGACCTGATGACGTACCTGATGACGTCATGGCAGGCTGCAGCCCAACAGTACGTCTTCTTCTCCGAGCGGGAAGTCCGACAGTGGAGTCATCCTCGCGACAAACACATCAACTTTAGAACTGCCAAGCCAACAGTCATCAAAAGGTGATAAATTATATAGCTTACACGATAGCCTATCCAAACTGATGCAGTAAAGAGTGACACAATGTACAATTTACCCCTTGCACATGCTGAATAGAATATGGAATATTTGTTCTACCTGGAGTCACCTGAGGTCATTGGGGCCGGGTTCACGTTCTATCTGGGTCACAGGCAGGAAACAGGTGTTCTTATGGGAGTCACCCGAGGTCATTGGAACACAACTCAAGTTATTTTTGGATTTTTAAGAAGAGAATCGCGTTCTATATGGGTCACCCGAGGTCATATGCGGGTGATTATTGGGTTGTTTAATGTATGGATTGGGATGAATAAATACCCGGTTTTGACTCTATTTGTGACATTACGGCGTCATAAGGAATGAAGCCTTCTGATTGGTTAACGTCATCGGGTGACCCGGCTATACGATAAATGTAAATCATTACTAAAGTCTATGAGAAAGAGAACTTTTTAAATTAATTACCTTCGCCAAGAAGGTTATTTTTTCATGGGCGTTCGTCTGTGTACGTGTGTCTGTGTGTCTGTAAACACGATACCTCGATAAGACTTAAATGGATTGTCTTCATATTTGCTAGGTGGGTTGGTCTTGATGAGGCCTCAAAATGATTAGATTTCGGACCCCCTGACGGCTTGTTATGGTACTGCAGCGGAACTTCCGCTTCTGATATCCCATGATCCAGGCATGCTAGGGACACGAAAATTTGAGTGACAGGTAGCTCTAGTGCTGTGAAACAACTGACGGAGGATTGAGCCCCCTAGCGGCTTGCTCTGGAACTGCAGGGCGTTTATTTAAAAACATTCAAAAGAGGATAACTCGATAACCGGTTGACGGATCGTCGTGATTTTTGGTATGTAGGTAGCTTAAGTGATGCTTGGCATAATTATTCTCCCAAGCCAAGGACCATCGTAATTAAACACAACAGAGATAACATTATGCATTACATGTGCAGTCTGTGATACAGAATATCAAGATTATGTCTAGAATTAGAACAAGAACGAGGATGGCTAGGATTGATTTTTTTTCTGATTTTTTTTCCTGTGCTGGCGTAGGTGACATTGTCCAACAATGTGTGTGTCCATGTGATATGTCTTACGAAATGTTGCCTCTCTATCCATATTTTACAGATATTGTCATGGCCATTGCTCTGCAGAACTCACCCAACTAGTTCCACCACTCAGAACTTTTAAGCGTTCCACTAGGTTCTCCACTAGCTCACACAACTTCACCGTCCAAATTCCTTGTTCGAAATTTTTTTACAGTGACAGTTTCTTTCCCCGTACGGCCAAGCTTTGGAAGTCTCTCCCTGACAAGTGTTTCCCACCAACCTACAATCTACAGGCTTTCAAATCAAACGTTCACCGCCATCTCTTGACATAGCCATGTCTCTCTCATCTTTCTAGTTCAATGCCGAGAAGTGGTCGTATAGGCCTTGCATTGAACTACTCCGTTACTAGAATATATTATTTCCAGTGTGGGAGTGGTGGGTGCAGGCACCATGGGTGCGGGGATCACCATCAGCCTACTGCAGGCTGGGCTCAAGGTCGTCCTGCTAGAGGTCAACAAGAAACAGCTGGACAAAGGTCAGGCAATTCTGCTTTCCTGAAGATTTTATTGTTTTGTAAATTAGTAAAACTGATTGCAAAAAAGTTGAACTCAATATGACATGATTGAATCGCGGATGTCAGGAATCGTTTAAACAGCATCCAAACAAGTCATAAACTATTGTAATTACCTTCGCCAAGAATTGGAGAAGGTTATGTTTTCGTGTCCGTGTGTATGTCTGTGTGTCAACAGCATAACTCGAGAAAGCTTAGATGGATTATCTTGATATTTGGTAGGTGGGTAGGTCTTGATGAGAGCTCGAACTGATTAGATTTTGGGCCCCCTGGCGGCTTGTCATGGTACTGCAGCTGAACTTCCGGTTTTGATATCTCATGATGCAGACATGCTAGGGTGACGAAATTTGGATGGCAGGTAGCTCTTGTGCTGGGGAAGGAGTGACGTGAGTTTGGGCTCCCTAGTTGCTTGCTCTAGAACTGCAGGGGGGTTTAAAGGACAAATGTTTAAAGGAGGATAACTCAAGAACCGATTGATGGATCATCATGATTTTTGGTATGTAGGTAGCTTGAGTAATGCTTGACATAATGATATTACAATTATGCAAATATGGATGTAATTTGCATAATTAATGAGGAAATTCTATTAATCAACTGCATTCCATGATAGGAAGTTCAAGATTGCGACATATGTTATTAACAACGAGAGAAACACAGGCAGATATCAATTATTCAAATGAAGACTTAATTAGCATAATTAATGAGAAAATGTTATAGTTGCATAGTGGTAACTGCCTGGAATTTTATACTTGGGGTGTTGGAAGTTTAGTGAAGGTAAACATAATTTAACATAACTTATTTAAATAAGGACCTCATTTGCATAATATATGAGGGAATGCTATAATGGCATTCTTTGTTGAAATAAGACTGTTGGTGGAGATTATGATCAACAGATATAATTCATGCAATTGCGGATCCTATTTGCATAATCAGGGGGATTAATACATTGTATATAAGTTCTTATTCATAAAAGCTAACATCATTTGGCGAAGGTATGAGATCGTGGAACTCTAGTTATATATATGTTTGCGGCGACTTAATTTCGGGAAAGTTATTTTGGTTGAAACAACTCTGAATTAAAGTAGCAATACAATTGAAACGTATACATTTGTGGGGTCAACACATGACTGCAGCGAGAATTTGCTTTGAAGCAAATTTCGCATTGCGTCACCACATTTTACGATATGACAAGAAAAGAAGGAGAATACAAGGGAAACAATGTTTTACATCGATATAATATATAGTGTGAAGTGACATATAACTACGAATACAACAGTTGGATAGCTATCCCCTACGTTATTGATTAGTATTTTATTTGCATAATGCAAACTGTTGATTTTCAAAATAAAAAAGCGTTAATGCCCCACATTCCAATGCTGGAGCTGGAAAGTTTGACATACATGTACCTACCAAAACACTTCAATGCAGTACCTGCTTTCAATATGGTATGGCTTTGTTCAGCTGTTCATGGAGTTAACCCAGTTAAATCTCAACAGCCAATCAGCAAGAAGAATAGAGGAAAGCTGCATGCCTATTGGTTCTTGCTGTGCATGCCAGACTGATGACTCATGGAAAGTCATCCCCTACTATATTATGTTTGTTTTATCCACAGCTATCGCCGTTATCCAAAAGACTCTTCGTCAGAAATCTGCCTCACAGAAAATGTCCCAACTGACCACCACTATGGACTACAGCCAGCTGAGTGACGTCGACATGGTCATCGAGGCTGTGTTTGAAAACTTGAGGCTGAAGAAGGAGGTTTTCAGGAAGCTGGATGTCATCACCAAACCCCAAGCCGTCCTCGCATCCAACACGTCTGGACTTGACATTGACAAGATCGCAGCAGCGACAAAGCGTCCTGACAAAGTAATGTACTTTAAAGTTTAAGTGAAATATTATGAACTTTGACTATGCTATTATTTAGATAATTACCATTTGACTTCCTTGCTATTTTAAACCTCTTTTTTTATATTTTTATGGTGTTTAGGGCCTAGAGACTATGATTTCTATTTGTGATAACTGTATCAAGTAAAAATAAACACAGGGCAATTTCTGTATACTAAGACTTTTCTATACAATGTAGTTGTCAACTGAGTGTGTAAAATTTAGACCTTTTCTTCCCCAGAACATCTCTCAATTGACAAACTGAATGGATGCCGAAGATTTTTTCCCTCCAATTTTGATATGTAACATTTCCTTTTTTTATATTCCAACATGTAATCACAAGACGTGGTGACGACACATATCAACGTTAGAACAACCTGCATAGGAATACAGTGTATACGCAATGGCAAATATACAAAAGTAACGCCCTCCGCACTGGATTTCCAGTGCTGAGGGAGCTTCAGCTCTGGCTGGAACAGAGACATTCAGCTCTGGAAATCCAGTGCTGACGAAATTTTGACCGCTGATTCAGCACTGGAACACCAGTGCGGGGGGAGTTACTATATTCCTATGCATGTTGTTCTAACGTTGATATGTGTAGAAATCATAAAGTGAAAGAGGTTTATCATATCTCCCCCCCCCCACAGGTTGTTGGGACCCATTTCTTCTCTCCCGCCAACGTGATGAGACTTCTGGAGAACATCTACGGCAAGAAGACGTCGGCGGAGACGGTCTGTATCTGTATCTGTATAGCCGGTATAACCGCCTTTCGGGGTAACACACCAGCTTCTGTACCTGTATAGCCAGTATAACCGCCTTTCGGCGTAACACACTACCTTCGTAGGCACGCGGCGCGGCGGCAGCTAGCTATATCACACCGAACGACTAGTTACACCTAACCCTTGAACATCTAACTCTAGGCACTGTTTAAAGCTATCTAATGACAATGCCCCTACTGTACTAGGTGACGGTGAGTTGCGATAGTTCTAGGAAAGAATGAATTCTTGAACAACTCAATCCTTGGTTGATAACTCTGGTACTTGAAGGCATGGCTATTTCTTGTTCTCTTCTGAGCTGGTATTAGGTACTTGGGACGTCCACCAGTTTATTAGTCATCTTGTACATCATGCATAGGTCGCCACGGTGATGCAGCTGGCCACGACCATTGGGAAGGTGGGGGTGCTGGTGGGCAACTGTGCAGGCTTCGTGGGGAACCGCATGTTGGGTCCGTACAGGTCCGAGGCGCTGTTCCTTCTGGAGGAGGGGGTCGATCCACAAGACGTCGACAGGGTCAGTGTCAAGGTTATTCAATATTTACCCTGAAGTTTGTGGCTTAGGCCACAGCAAGTAAATTTTATGGATTACTTCAAATCAGACTCCAAATCAAGGGGGCCCAAAAACAAGGTTCCTATATTTTAAAATTTTGACTCAAGTATATGTACAAATGGTTTTGAGTCAATGGGAACATCATATATAGACAGACAACATCACATATCACTGCATCAAAGTAAGAAACAGAACATTAAATCAGAGCTTTTTCTTGTCTCCTATCCTCATAGTTATCTGCCATCCACCTTCCGGCATGGCAACAGACATCCTTGCCCATTTTCAACATGTTGACCACTGTCAGAGGACAACGAAATTTCATGTTTGTTTCCAAAATCAGGCGAAAATTAATGCGCGCGCTGATGCCATCCATACAAATTACTTGCTATGGCCTTGTGTTAACTTTACGATGTACAATCTGAACGATGCATCTTTTACCATCGATAGCGGTTGTCGCACTGCAACCCAAAATCGTTGAAAATAGCGGGCGAAATCCGAAGGAACGCGTACCACTGACGTCGAATCCACTTTGGTCGACCAATTCGCAGATACGTAATCAATTTGAAACCTAATAAGTACGTCGAGTGACAGTGAAGTTTACATAAGCCAAATTTGTTTTCTTTACTTTTCTTACTTTATCCCTCAAGTCCTGACGCCCTAGACGGGTTGCCATAACCGTAGCACACTGGACACAAAGTATCTTAGTGAGCCAGGGTCTGGCCGGAAGACTTAGGAATGGTTTTCCAGCGTAGGGAGGAGAAGCTGTGATTGATGACCCCTCACACCACAGGTAGCCTGTTACATGGCACCACCATTGGTCAGCAGGAGACAAACTTGGGCTCAACAGTTAATCATTAACCAGTCAATTTTCTAAATGAATTTGCAGTTTATTTTCCAAAATAAAAGCAGAACTTAGTTTAATAGTAGAAGTAGTGTACAACCCAGGCTTTATTTTTTCCTGTTTGTTTAGGTAACAGTCCTCTGACACACCAGGAAAAAATACACCTTATTTACAGTTTTATCTCATCTGCTGGTGGCCACTGTTGAAGATTCAAACATAAAGCTGGGAGTTTTTAACCAATCATAGCAGAGGTGTAGAATTGCTTCCTGCTGTTCCACCAATGGGGCCTTACGCTCAGATACTGAGCGTTCGACTGGCAGGTCTATCTGACCCTACCAGACCCAGGCTCACTGAGATATTTTGTGTCCAGTGTGCTATGGGTCTGGCAACCAGGATATGACGTCCCGATAATCTCTATTTATTTCCAGGCTATAGAGGAGTTCGGCTTCCCGATGGGACCGTTCCGTATGACCGACCTGGCCGGTAATGACATTGGGTGGAGGCGGCGCATCGAGGCGAGACTCACGACGGAACACGGGCCGCCACCGGACACCCCCGCGCTCTATCGTCGTGGCGACCGGTACTGTCCGTTACCGGACATGCTGTGCTTGCAAGGTCGTCTGGGACAAAAGACCGGGGCTGGGTGGTACATGTAGGCAACTGGTGTATTTAGAAAGGCTCTTGTTTGTTTGTGGCTTCAGCTTTTTCATAAAATGCTCAAATCAGTCTGCTTTTCCTTGAGGTCTCTTTCTGCGGATTCTGCACCTTGTTTTTCTAGTGCTTAGGCCACAACGCCTTAATTTTATCGATGAAATCCTCTGAAGACCCTTGTGCGCGCGGGCGAGTAAAAAAAAAATTCCGCCCAAAAATAAAAATGCTACAAGAATACAAAGGTGGTATTGTGAATTTGCGGCACTACATAACGACTTATACGACAAGCTGGCTTTTTGAGGAATTTATAAATTGGCACTGTACGTATGTACTGAGTTCTTGAGTCGTTGAGCTTTGGCAGCCTGGGAGCAATCCTGCAGAGTTACTACAGGCTCCGTATTTTCGCTAAGTACGATGGACTACCCGGGCCTGGAGCCAGGCAAGCGGAGGGCGTGGTCTTTTTTTTTTTAGAAAAAAAATGTCATCCAAAATTAAAATTATGAAATTAAAATTAGAATTATGTCGGTGTGGCTTTATGCTTAGCGTTGAATGCAGTGTTTTCAGATGAGAAAGGCTTCCTGTCGCTTGCTGATAAAAAAACTTACGGAGTTATGCAGGGCTTGTCTTTCGAATGGAACCTGACTGTTCTTGCAGGGAAACAGCTTTCCATTATAGTGAGTTTACCGCAGAAGGCGCTGGCCTTGTCGGTTGTAGAAATATGGTGCGTTGTATACATCCTCCCATGGAACTTTTATATGGCATATACTAACAATGCAAGGTTTTCTGGTGCTATTGTGTCATAAGACAACGTTTTGTAAACTTTAAAGAAATTGAAAAATGTCTGCAGTTCAATGACCCCCCCCCCGGTCACTGCGAATGTGGAATTAACACATCTTGAATCGTGAGCTAAGAGGTAAGGGTTAGACATATAACAACATACGGGTTCCATTATCAAATTAAATAGTTTAGTGCCATATGTATAGTTATCATCCATAGACATATATTGTAACATATATATATGGTATTACGAAAGCAGAAATGACATCTGAATAGCAAAGTTCTTTGATCACAACCATTTATCTTTAACGTTTTAATCACCGTCTGTTCATCAGGGCAATTCTGACTGGTTTACTGTGCACTGGCGCTAGATGTTACTTGGTGCATAGTGATAGGTGTTACATAGCTCACAGTGCACATTACTTGGTTTATAGTGCACTTTTAAAAGATTAAAAGCTAGTTTTTACTGTTAACAATACATTGTACGCGAACATGGGGCTGTACGCGGCGTTCATTGATCTGACCAAAGCCTTCGATACCGTGAGCCGAGACGGACTCTGGAAGATCTTGTCGAGGCTCGGATGTCCACCGAAGCTCCCTGCCATTGTGCAACAACTGCACGAAGGACAGATGGGCCAGGTGAAGCACGGCGGTTACCTGTCTGAGCCGTTCCCGATTGCCAACGGAGTCAAGCAAGGGTGTGTTCTTGCCCCCACGCTCTTCGCTATCTTCTTCAGTATGATGCTGCAAGAGGCCAAGGATGATCTCACAGAAAATATCTACATCAGATTCAGGACAGATGGCAGTGTCTTTGACCTGAGGAGACTTCTAGCACACACAAAGACACTGGAAGAACTGATCCTGGACCTGCTGTTTGCGGACGACTGTGCACTTCTGGCACACACAGAGGCAGCTCTGTAGGCGGTTGTCAGTCACTTCGCGACAGCATGCAAGGCCTTCGGCCTTACCATCAGCCTGAAGAAGACGGAGGTGATGTACCAAAAACTACCACGTGAAACCTACGCACATCCACAGATCAGTATCGAAGGCCATCCTTTGAATGCGGTAGAACACTTCACTTACCTGGGCAGTGTTATCTCTAACGACGCCACAGTGACCAAAGATGTGGACAGTCGCCTTGGCAAAGCCAGCAGTTCGTTCGGGCGTCTACAGAAGCGCGTCTGGAAGAACCACTCACTGCGACTGTCGACAAAGATCCAAGTGTACAGAGCAGTAGTTGTCACCACTCTCCTTTACGGTGCTGAAACATGGGTCCTGTACCGGAAGCAGGTGAAATCTAGAACCGTTCCACTAACGATGCCTACGGTGCATCATGGGCATCAAGTGGCAGGACTATGTGACGAACACTGAAGTTCTTGAGAGAGCAAACCTTCAGAGCATGGAGGCAATGCTGATGACGAGGCAGCTCCGAAGGGCTGGCCATCTGGCACGAATGGAGGACTCTAGAATGCCCAAAGCCGTCTTTTACGGTGAACTGTGTCAGGGCAAGAGAGACAGAGGAGCCCCAGGAAGCGCTTCAAGGACCAACTTAAGCGCCAACTCATTGCAGCTGGCATCCCAGTAAAGGAATGGGAAAGTGTGGCCTCCGATAGAAGCGCTTGGAGAGCAGCGACCAGAGAAGGAGCTGTGAAATGGGAGAAGGCCCGGAAAGATGCAGCAGAGGAAAAGAGGAGGCGACGAAAGGCTGCAGCCACTCAGCCAACGACAGCAGCGACTTTCACATGTCCGTCCTGCCGCAGGACCTGCGGGTCAAGAATCGGACTACACAGCCACATGAAGGCCTGCAGCCACATGAAGGACTGACTTCCTAACATCTTCGGATACGAAGAAGAGGCCAACAACAGTGCAATTGTGACATACATACTAGGCATTGTTACATCATAGGGACATATGCGGTTCCAAATGTGAAGTGTTTCAGACTATATATAATATAAAATTTGTTAACTAAAAATTCTGACAATTCTTTAGTGCACCATGCACCAAGTAACATCTAGTGTCATTGCACAGTAAACCAGTCAGAATTGCCCTGATGAAGATGACAGAAGGTCATCAAAACGGCGGCTCGTGAAAAATGAATGGTCATGATCAAATAACTTTGCTATTCATTCGTTTACCAACCTAATGAAATTATTTACGGAAGAAATGACATCTATATGTCAGAATGTCCCACCACGCCCCTTCTATGTGTAACAGGTATGACCCAGGTAGTCGCACTGCCCTGCCGGATCCTGTGGTACTGCAGATGATCCAGGACTACAGACAGGAACATGGCTTCAAGAAGAGAACCATCTCATCACAGGTACTTCCTTACATTTAATGTATCAAATCTCATCATTGAATGTTTTTGCATACCTGCAATGAGATTGTGTGATAAGACTGAAGTGAAATTTTGTAAGTAAAGCTGTCGAGATTCAAAGTGCCTGTTCTTGCATCTTTATTCTCAATCACAACTACTATATAATTCAGTCATTTGAGAATCTTCCAGTTTTGCACTGGGGTAAGTTTGGAAAAGTCCACTTTTGCGTGGGAGTAAAATGGGCTGAACTATGCTGTATTTGCCCCCAAGCAAATGTCAGCCTTTCCTGTTAGTTAAGACGTTTCCTACATTATTTAATGCGGTATTTAGAAACAATATGATACCGGAGTAGAGTCACTGTGTTAGTCAGTGTACTAGTATATCCACAGTGTGGTGAGTTCTAAATCATGAAAGTTATGGATTTTTATGTAGATACCTATGGGGTCATGAATTGATGTTACGCAACAGTGATGTACAAGTGAACTTCTATCACGTGGTGAGCACGGACGGGGCACGACCTGTCTTAGCCAATCACAGTGTAAGCTTGATCCGCCCTAACCAATCGCAGTGCATATCTACACGTGGTCCTAAATTTGCCGCGTCTTTCAGAATTTCTCGGCCCACTCGAACAAACGGTTAGCGACCGGTCGAATTCTGTTATAACCGAAGGCGAGTTGCCTTGGGTATTTTGTATTCATTAAACCCTTGGTACCAAAGAAACTTTTCAGAGTCAGTTAGTTTTGTGTTGACCCATTTTACTGGTATGAATGACCGCGGAGGTATGGATAAAAACTTTTCGTAACTCGAAAAATACACATCATAACTCTGTATCTATGTCTACTAGTACTTCGTCTAGTACATTATAAGCTGGTATTACATGTACACTGAATGACCTGCCACACCTGACTTTAGTTTGCACATCTGGCTGCCCTACTATACTTGCTTGCAGCAAGCTCGAATTCTTTAACACCTCGATCCTTCGTTGATAACTCTGTTACTTGAAGGCATGACTGTATCTTGTTCTTTTCTACACTGGTTTAAGATATTTAGGCCACATCAAGTAATTTTTATGGATGACATCAGCGCGCGCATTAATTTTGGCCTGCTGATTTGGGAAAAAAAAAGAAATTTTGTTGCCTTCTGACAGTGGTCACCATGCCGAAAATGGGCAAAGATGCCTGCTGCCATGCCGGAAGATGGATGGCAAATAACTGCAAAGAGAGGAGACAAGAAAAGGCTCTGCTTTAATGTTTTGTTTCTAACTTTGATGCAGTGATATGTACAGTGATTGAGTCAAGATTTTAAAATGTAGGAACCTTGTTTTTTCGGCCTGCCTTGTTTTTTTTTTGCCCGTTCGCATTAGATTTGGAGTCTGCGGAGGATGTCATGCATAAAATTTACTTTTTGTGGCCTTACTTATAGTAGTTAGCACATCCATCGGCTTAATTTTGTGCATCTGAACTTTTCTTGTTGTGTAGGAGATCGTCGAGCGTTGTCTCTACTCACTCATTAATGAAGGCTTCCACGTCCTGGATGAGGGAATTGCATCTCGGGCACTGGACATCGATGTCATCTACCTGTTTGGCTATGGATGGCCGAGGCACACAGGTGATTTTGTCCTTTTTTAGAAATTCCAACATGCAAAAACACAGCACATAGTGGTGAAGCACTCAAGCAAAATGCTTATATTTACGTCACCACTTGACATAAAATAAAAATTAAATCACAAATTATGGGTATCGACCAGGTAACAAGAAAACAGAGTTAGTTATTAGGATATTATAAATGAATACAGAAGTATAAATCAGTTTTAAATCGCTTAGTTTCAGAAAGATATAGCTGTGTAATAATGAGTATTTGAGAAATGACATTAGATGAAAGTAAAGGTGATTCATTAAGTAGCAGATACACAATAGCACTATCGGTTTTGTTCGGATTACCACAGTGTAAGTGGAGCATATTCAATGCTGGAATTACATAATTACATAGCACAGAACATATCACTTGTACGTACAAAAACACAGTGATGACAGTAATGGACGCAATTCTTTATTGCAGGAATCAAAACTTAAGACTAAAACATACCGTAACTGGCTAACCTGTTATGCCAAGTTCTTTATGGACGGCGGTTTCGTCTTGGGGACAGGAATAACAGTAGCGTTAAGTGTGCTCACGTCGTACTCTACGGCAAGCGCAACTTGGTCTTCCTACACTCTATACACGGCGCCACGAACTGACTGTAAAATTCGCCAAATCCCTTGAACAGTCTGACCAGTACAGACATTTACTACCACCGTTACGGGGGGAATTGAGTGGAAGAAAAACTTAGTAGGTCATCTCACAAACTCGATAGTATCCACTGCAAATCAGAGATATATAACTCTAGTGCAATACCTCACATGGCACGACTGTTGAACTTGTAAGAAAAAAATGCCCTATTCTAAATTATATTGTATAATGTGTCTTTATGAGATCTTTTAAATATTTTAAATTTGTTAATTTTGTGTAATTCAGTTACAGTATAACTACGCGTTTAATATTGTACCCTATATGGTTAATGTTTTTAGTATGAATATCAACTGTTGTTAATGGAACCCCCACGCAATTCAGTCTGTGACTGCCATATGGGAACATTACATGAAACAAAAAAAAACAGTATTATTATTATACTGCACATCAAATGCATTTCCATTTCCTGTTGTAGTGATTATAGGGCTATAGAAAAGCATCAGTTTTTTTTTTTTATTCCAACATTTCATGACTAGACGTGGCGACGGCACACTCCAGTTATATCGACTTATTTTATATCCAACGCAACCAACGCAGAGGACAACTACTACAGGACAGGACAATACTCATTTTCACTTGAGGAAAGTCACGTGAAGTGCCTTTCTCACGGACATAAGATTGGTGGCATGTCAGGATCCGAACCCGGGACCTCTTGGTTCCGAGTCGAGCACTCTGGCGTTACGCAACACGACCCCACTTATGGTGTTCTTTTATCGGTAAAGTCTTACGTTTCCATGTCTATCAGACATTTTCCTCAGAGTTTCTGAATGGAGTCTGACTAACTTGCATTATCTCTTGCTGTGACTCAAAGAAATATGAAGAACTTTATTGACACAACAAAAAGTACAGCGACTTTTGTAAGGTCAAAGACATGTAGATATACAGACAAATATACATGGGTACAACGAAAATATCCTACGTACAGAACAATAGATGGGTCAACTAATACTACTTGTTCTAAGGTCTAAACATTCTTTGATATATTTACCTATTTGTACACAGTAAGGTTTATTGCCTTCTAGGATGAACTTAAATTTATCTATAGCATGAAATGTAACAAATTCTGTTGAGCAGGCGGAGAGAAGGTTGAACAGCTTTGTGCGTTTATCGTTATAAAGTGTACAATTCAAAATAAAATGTTGTTTGTCTTCAATATCATTGGGACAGAATGGACAAAACCTCTGGTCGCGAGGGATTTTTTTTTATATCTTCCTAATTCTATATTCAATTTATGGCTAGAAATTCTCATCTTTGTATGTACGTAATCGATCTACGAACTTCAAAATTGTGTATTTCAGAAAGGTAATTTTCTTGTCCGTACCTCGTCTTTAACATCGAACAGACAGAAAGTTTTGAATTGTTTTGAACAGAAGTATGGTATTCTTGGATGTAAATATCCTGTAAACGACGTCGTAATTGATCTGCAAACATGTCAACGTGATACAGCCTGGGGTTTGTCCATACATATCCAAAACCGTTATAATTAAGAAGAAATATGAAATGATATCCCTGTACCCAGGACTTCAAGGCTTTGTACGACAAAATCACATTCCAATCTGAGATTCACAACTACCGGACACGCTCAACCACTTACAAACAAAGTCAGACTACCGAAACCAAAATCCAACTCTCAGAAAAGGCGCTTTCTGTATAGTACAGATATCTGTTACAATTGTGGAACAACACAGGCGGCAACTAGCAAAGTACTGGACTGTAAATAGTGTATTTAAGGAATGTGTTAAGTTTGCTACATACTGTTAACTTTGTAATGTTTTTGTACGTTTGTAATACATGTATGTATATATGAATGTAATGTGTAGACCACATGAAGAATAGCCCCTTATTAGGCTAATTGTTGATCTAAATAAAACTTAAATTCAATTTCTTCAGGAGGACCGATGTACTACGTGGAAAGGGTGATCGGCCTGGAGAAGCTGCTGCGTAGTCTGGAGACTTACAGTGCCCGGTACCCGAACCATTCCCACCTGCAGGTGAGAGGAAATATATGGTAGGATGTACAACCCCACGTACCCTGCACAGGGAGGGGGACTACGGGTATAGAACTCTCGGGTACTTGGAAATCCATGGGGCGTAAACTGAGAAACCACGACAACATCAGCCTTCCCTTGGCCAGAACAGAGCGGCTGAGAAAATCATTTTTGTACACTGCTGTCAGACTGTACAATGAGACTTTCTAATAGGCTACCCTCCGTAATGGTATTCCGGTCTTACTGAACTTGTGTTTTTTAAGCCGTTATTTCGTGTCCCTTTCAAGTATAGTACCCTAAGGATTGTGTTTTGTAAGACTCTTCTTTTTGAATTGTTTTAACTCGCTTAAGTGTTGCACTTGCAAAATATTATATCTAAATTCTATTTTAAAGATCATAAATAGACGAAAAATGTTTTTAAAAATGTAAAATATATTGTCTATTTTAGTATCATTATCTTAAAATGCAGTAAGTAGTTATTTCAATTTAAGGTACTTCTCAATGTAATAAATAAAATATTAGTAAGTGTAACGTGCTCGCGACTTTTGTACAAACCTCACAGTTCAGCCGAGGCTGTGATGGGTTTTTGGTTTTCAATAAACAGTAAACATTACTTATTGCTCCCAGCCCCAAGACAGACAACACTTAACACCCCCGTTCTGAAACATCAGGAGCTTTTGATTAATTTGCATCAACCTGCAAGCCTCGAAATTATTATTTTTCCTATTGTCCCAACATTGTCCCGAAAATAAATTTCAATTGTCCGGAAGTGAGGATGAACCGTCCCAATCTGTTTTTCAGGAAGTATGTAGGACAAGAATTTAAAGGAAACTTTATTTTGCTTACGTTCTGACTTCCATGGACACTATAATTGCATAGTACACAATCATTTTTTTCCGGATCCAAGAGCCGGGACGCGTGCCTGATAAACGAAAGAAGGGCTGACAATCTAATGTTGATTATTTTTCTATTGTCCCCCAAAAATGTCCCAAAGTGACTTTCTAGTTGTCCAAGCCTAAATTTTAGTAGGCAGTGACCATCGGGACACCGTCAATTTGTGTTTATTTTGTTCTAACTTTTGTTTCCTATTGGACTATGGATTGATGGTTCATGGTTATAAACCTGTTGATATTCAGATCTCACCAGGGTCACTGACAAAAGGTGGATGCTGCTTGAAACGTCTGTTTCCGAAATCATATCCAGTTTCTCGAGTAAGGCCACAGCAAGTAATTTTTATGGATGACATCAGCGCGCGCATTAATTTTCGCCTGATTTAAAAAAAAATTCCCTCTGGCAGTGGTCAACATGCCGAAAATTGGCAAAGATGTCTGTTGTAATGCCGGAAGGTGGATGGCAGATAAATATGAAGAGAGAAAACAAGAAAATGCTCTGATTAAAAGTTTGATTTTTACTTTGATACAGTGATATGTGATGCTGGCTGTGTACATGTGATGTACCCACTGAATCAAACCATTCGTACAATGATTGAGCCAAGATTTGAAAATGTGGGAACCTTTGTTTTTTTCGCCCGCTCGCATTAGATTTGGAGTCTGCAGATGATGTCATCCATAAAATTTACTGGCTGTGGCCTTACTGTTTTATTTTACCACATGCAGCCCAGCCCGCTTCTGCGAGACATGGTGGCTAAAGGAGGCAGCCTGGCAGCACTGGGGACAACCGACAGCAAACTCTGAGCAGTCATCATACAAAACTGGATTTTCAAAGTCATTTTTTTCTATCATGTGCTAATGTAAACAATAGCCTAGATTGTAACACGCCTGGCTAATCATTGGTTTACAGCAAAGTTGCAAAGTTCTAGCTACATGCAGAAGTCCTGGTGGTGGAATGAAGATGCCGGTGGTCATTTCTGGTCATTTTCTTAATGCAGTAAGTTGAATAAGCCCTATCCCATACCATACTGATATCTGTGAGGCAAAAATGTCATGTCAATGATGGAGAACGGCTGCTTGTGTAATTATTACCTTTGCCATGAAGGTTATGTTTTCGTAGGCGTTCGTGTATGTGTCTGTGTGTCTGTCTGTCTGTCTGTCAACACGATAACTTGAGAAGGCTTAAATAGATTAACTTCATATTTGGTAGGTGGGTAGGTCTTGATGAGACATAGAAATCATTAGATTTTGGGCCCCCTAGTGACTTCTCAAGAACCGATTGATGGATCGTCGTGATTTTTGGTATGTAGGTAGCTGACGTAAAGCTTAATATGATTATTTGACAATTATGCTAATATGGACGTAATTTGCATAATTTATGAGTAAATTCTATAAATCAGCTGCATTCCATGATAGGACTATTGACGTTGCCTGGAATTTAATACTTGTGGTATTTGTAAGTTCAGTAAAGGTGAACATCATTAAAAGTAATGTATTCAAATCAGGACCTAATTTGCACAAGTTATGAAGAAATGCTAGAATGGCATAGTTTGTTAATATAAGACTTTTGGTTGAGAATATGATAAATTGATAAAATTCATCAAAATGTGGTCCTATTTGCACAATCAGGGGGAATAATCTACAAATTGTCAGTCATAAAGATTAACATCATTTGGCGAAGGTATGAGATCGGGGAACTCTAGTTATGATATCTTTCTGATGCTAGCAAATATTATTGCTTCAAACCTCAACAGTTATGTCAGGATTCTTTACAACGTTAACAATTATCAAAGACTACATACATATTAAGTACATTTCATAGCTTTTCATTCGGTGAATTGGACTTTTACTTACTGTTGTACAAGTGGATTTTGGTAGGGCACAGTTCAGCATACTGACAAGTTACATGATTGTATACATACTATTGTATGACAAAGGTAATGTAGAACGAATGAAATAAAAACGGAAAAATCAAACGTTCATTAAAAATCACGTGTCTACTTGGGTCAGATAGCTAATGACGAAAATTCAGATGAGTCCATTTTCTTGAGTTGGAGAACAGATATTTCTCATTATGTAATTTACCAACTCAGACGAACTTTCATGCTAATAGCCTAAGGGATGTTGAAAGCTTTAAAGTGCTGATGACATCATGCTTCATCTTTACAACCTATGCAATGACAGTAAAATTATTCCAAAGTAATAATTACTCCCTAGAAATGACAATGCAACAAAACACAATGAATCAATCAATCAATCAATCAATCAATCAATCAATCAATCAATCAATCAATCAATCTTTATTGCGCAACAATTGCAACAGGTACAATGTCTGGCAATTATAGACAAGAATAACAATACTAAAATCTACTTCTAAATGACTAACTCTAGACGCTACGCTGTAATTGTGTACTATGAGTTATACAATATATATGGAACATGGATACAGTATTAACATCCATTCGAAGTGTCAGAGATGATGTGGTTTCTTTTCTGGAGAGCGGAAGATATGAATTGGCCTATATATAAGGATATTGGTTCAGGACATGACATAAGTAAATTAAAAGTATCTGAGCTTGTTCTAGGTAAAGTAAGGTTTGAGTTACGTGAGATCATGTTCATAAGTCTCAGCCTTTCTTCAGTGTACGTGGGACAAAATAATAAGAAGTGAAATTCGTCTTCAACATTGTGTTTACATGTAGGACAGAGTCTCTGAGTGGCTGGTACATTCTTATGACGACCTTTTTCTATTTCTAGACAATGTGCACTGATTCGCAGTTTGGTTATGTTAGCAACAAAAGATTTGTTTTGGATTGATGAGAGGTACTTCTCAAAAGTGAAGTCCGTTTTGAATTTAGAATAGGTTTGTAGTTTACTGTAATTTCTTATGTTTTGCCTCCAGCCAGAAACAAACGTGTCTTGCAGTCGTTGTTTGAACACCTTTTCAAACTGCTTCGCGTCAACTGTTGGGTTTAGCCAAATATTTTGGAAACCGTGTCTACATAGCATATCTTGTATATGTATTACCCAGTCCTGTTCTTGTTCTACAGCGATATCGTAGGCTTTTTTAACAATTCTATCATTAGGCAGGTGGTGCAGTCTGAGCCAGTATTTGATGAGCTGAGTTTGGGTGTCAATACATAACGGAATCGCTCCTAGTTCTCCCCTTACGGCGGCGGTGACGAAGCTTCTAGGGACACGGAGAATTATTTTGTAGAAATTCAAGAGAACTTGTTCTAGGTCAGGGTTTTCGTATGACAGTGTAGGTTGCTCTATATATACATTTTGGTTTCTTAATGTTTCCGAGTTATGTACAATGTTTAGTTTGTTACTGTATTTTTTTTTTTAACGGACGAGTATAGGGCGGCTAGAATGAGGTTCAGATTTCTTTCCGATACGATTTGTTTTGAGGATATTTACTTGTGGTCCTAGTATTGGGGATAAAATGTTAAATAATATATTTCGCATATTTTCGTTTGGAGATTCTTCTATTCCTTTCATGATCAGGTCCCTACATTGTATATTTGGGCCTAAAACTTCTCCACAGTAGAGTAGGATTGGTTTTACTATAGTATCAAACAGGTCTAATGCAAGGGATAAAAATGACTTAAGTTTGAAGGAGGCTCGGAGGGCTTTAGTTCTGAGTTGTTTATTGGCTCGTTTAAACGTTCCTGATGGGGTTATGTCTACTCCTAGATATGTGTAGGAGGATGTAATATCTATTACATGGCCCTGTGACTGGAAAGGAGAGCGCCGATTTTTATTTGTTTGTCCATTTTTTGAGAAGATCATTATTTTGGTTTTATCTCTATTGATCGTCAGTTTCCATGTTGAGCAAAAGTTATCTAATCTTTTTAAACATTCTTTAAGGCCATTTTCTGATTAAGATAAGAGCACGAGATCATCTGCCCAGAAAAGGCTGTTGATGGGAGTGTCCTCTAAAATAACAGGGTCGCAAAGTGGTTAATTTAGTAAGCATGGAAGGTCGTTAACGTATAAATTAAACAGGAGCGGGCTTAAATTGCACCCTTGTCGAACGCCGCATGTGGACTTGAAGTATGTTGACAGACCGTTTGATGTTTTAACGCAGTATTCTATGTTTGAGTACATTGTTTGTATGATTGTATGTATGTTTGTATGAAACATGCATACAATTTCCCCCCGGGATTGGATATTTGTTGATCAATTAGAGTTTTAAGCACAAAGACATTGTCACTTGTACGGAAATTTGTGCGAAAGCCAGACTGAAATGGAGATAATATGTTGTTCTCTTCAAGAAACCGTTGAAGTCGTTTATTAAGCACGAATGTAAACAATTTACCGACGCAGCTAGAGATGGCAATCCCTCTATAATTGGACGGATTTGTTGGGTTACCACTTTTAAATATCGGAACTAAGATGCTCTGACTCCACTGACGGGGAAACTTTCCTGATTGAAGGGTAGTGTTAAAAAGTTTCTTTAACGGTTGTAGGAGTCGTTTATCGCCATGTTTTAACATTTCATTTATAATTGAATCAGTGCCACATGATTTATTAGCTTTTAGGTTGCGAAGACCTTCTAAAATTTCTCCTTCTGAGATAAGAAAGTCCAATGGGTCTTCTGCTGTGTTTTCAAGAGTGTTAAGGATGTCGCTTATGCATTTCTTATAGCCTGCATTCGATGTTATACTATTTGTAGGTATGTTAGGCCATTCTTGACCTGCATGTTCAATAAAGTCTTTATTTGGCTTATCATTATCTACAATATCATTTAAAGTTTTGAAGTGAGTCCTCCACTCTTCAGGATTTATAGCATTATCTTCCCTCTGTTTATCACTGTCCTCCTGTTTTTGTGATCTAATTTCCCTCCAGAATTTTTGCGGATTTTCCTTGCTAAGTTTTCTAAGATTGTTCCATTGTTTTGCTTTGAAAAGTCTTTTTTCTGTTTTGATTTTCTATTTATATAACTTCAGATTGCAATAATATGCGTGGCGAACATCAAGCTTCCATGGATACTTAGAAAACTGAGCGGCTAACTGCTTAACTTTGTGTTTGAGAGAGGCGCATGAGGGGTTGAACCAAGGTTTGTTTGTCTTATTCTTTTTCCTTCTCTTGCTATTGTTATGGACAATTTTGCGGAGAGATTTATCGGCTACTTCAGTGATTATATCAGTAAATTCCTTCACCGATGAGTCTGCAGAACAGAAGGACTTACTGGTAAAGTTTCGCAAATTCTGCAATATCGCAGGGTCTTGTAAAGTCGCTATGAATTTGGTTTTGGAGTTTTCATCCCAAATATACTTTTTTGGTAATGGATGACTTGGGGCTTTAGCTTGTCTTTTATATGGAGAATAGTTGGTTGAGATTGAGCATTCTATTAAACAGTGATCAGAAAAATAGAAATGTCGTTTACTTTAAAATACTGGACTTTTGTGATGAACTCCGAACTAACAATACAGTAGTCAACTAAACTTGAGCCGTTGTATTTGGGGCAAGTGAGCTTTCCAGTTGAATCTCCTGGCACTCGGCCGTTTACGATAGTTAGGTCAGCTGCTGAACAGAGCTCTATAAGTTGGTTGCCATATTTGTTAACACCGTTGTCACAACTCGCCCTGTGTCGGATATCGTTTTTGAAGTCTATCAGATTGTGGTTGAGACAATCGTCTTGGATTATGATCTCTTGTAAAGAAGCTGTTCTAGCGTTTAGGTCGCCTAGCAGCAAAATATTTCCTTGGTTGGATAATCTACTAATATCGTCATGTAAAATTTCAAAGAGCTGATTGTTGTTTGTTTCGAAAGTTGTTGAATATTCAGGACAGAATTCGAAAGTAAACGCCTCCGACGAAAAGGTCCCGTTCTAGGCCAAAGAACGTTTTGTCAAGTCTGCACCACAGAAAGTCAGGGTGCTTCGTGGGGAGTTTGGTAATGTCTTTGGCGTATTTCTGTTTGAACATGATAACTACACCACCTGAATTCCTTTTGGACTTCTTTTTTAACCCTACCTAGATGGGGGGGGGGGCTAAAAGTGCCCGCGGCAACTTTGATGTCACCTAGCGTCTGAACGGCTAGCCGTAGAACGGCCAAACTTGGTGACTTTTCCTAGAATATTGTTGGCAACAATTCTCTATCATTGGAACAAGATAATAATTTTTTGTGTTGCCATGGCAACGGGTTTCTGACAGGCATTTTTTGCTAAATTTAGTACTTTTTGTTTCAACAAAAGAATTTTATGAGTTTTATGTCAAGTTACTCATGGTTTCTAATATTAATAACATCCCATATAATTCTATGTAAATTGTATCATTAAATATGCATGATTTATGCTAATTTGATGACGTCATTGGCCAAAATCCAAGATGGCGGACCATATCATTAGAACAGGTATATACAGGTTATTTTCATTAAAATTTCACCAATACTTCCATTTCTTTTTCCAAAAAAGGTTTAAATGAAGGTCTTTAGTATGTTTACAATGTATTTTAGGCTTTATCATGAAAAAAAACTATTTTTGACAATTCAAGATTGATGATCCAAGATGGCGGATAGCTTAAATATGCATGACGTCATTTTATGACGTCACCGGTGTTGCTATGGGCAACATAAGACTAAGTACACCATAGTATTCCGTCATAAACACGTTTCGTACAGTTATGTTGAATACCATTTAGTTTTCAGGGAAAAACCTATTTAGACGGTTTTGGCCAATAAAATCACATTAATGACGTCATATTACGTCATAACGACATAAAATTGTAGATATGATAAATTTTCACTTGTATACCATTCTCTGAAAATTTAAACAAACAAACGACAAACAAAGTCAAAATCTTCTAAATACGAATTAAAATCTTCATCCTGGCTTTTACGTCTAAGGCCACCCTGAATGTTCCACGAGCAGAACTTCAGGGTTACCTTTTGGATTGACATTCTAGGATTAAGTTGTGAGCAATACTAAGCAACAACACGAGCATATGAACATATACGTAGAGTGAATCAATACAAAATCATTGTGGTAGCATAAAAGTCACGGCATAGAAACATAATATATACATAGTGAACTGTGTAGACTGTAGAATATGAATGATGGGTAAAACTAATATAATGTTATTATTGTTAGGGAAATGGAAGTTTGTCACCTGAGTAGTCTCTTGGGTGCATGTTGTTCACATATTGTATATTTCACTTTAGGTTTATATATCATCATCACATGTACTAATAGACAAAATACAGACACTTATTTTACAAGCACTCTATATCTGCTGTTAAGTTCTCAATGCCGATACCTCAAGATCTGGATTCCTTTGGTCTCGTATCAAGTAAAACGTTAACTGGTGGATGTTCGCACCGACTGCTACTTGTCAGAAGAAGACAAGCCTTCCCTGCTTGGCATGTCGTCTGCAATACAATTGCGAATCACGTGTTAGTCAAGATTTGGCCCACCTTGCAGTTAATGGTAGAAATCCCTCCCTTTGAATTTCTATATTCGTTGTTTATAAACAAGACTATGGATACGCTAGGACCTTCAGAAAAACAGAACAAACTTTAAGACAGTATGAAAGGATAATCAGCCTCATGGTGCATATTTGCTGTCTACACTTGAACTATATGATATGATGTGTATTTCAAGTGGTATCCCCCTTATTGTTGCTGGTCTGCTGATGAAGAATTGGCAAATGCTCTAAATAAATCGGTACAATATCTATTATACAGTGAAACTTATTTTGTATCAATTTTGTATGGGTTTAGAATAGAATTTTAGTTAGTTAGTTAGTTCGTCGTGTTAACTTTATATTATTTTGTATCTATTTTGATTTAATCTGTTTGTTTCGTTGTCACTTATTTATTGTACACGTGTGTAAAAAGAGGTCATAAAAATTGGATTTTAGGAGAACCCACTCAATAAACCCTTAGGTTTCTTGGGTTCTCCCACACATTTGGTTGTACATAGTCATTACATACTGTTTTTCTTTTTATGTGCAAACTGAAATAAAAGAAAGAAAAAAGAATAAAAAAAGAAAGAATAAGGCATCGTCGTCACCCGACAGATTACAGACGAACCTTTCAAGCTCTCTGCTGTCAGCCGCTCTTCCATGTTGATAAGGGCTTCCTGTAAAACCTGCAGAGTTGCATCACTTGCATGTTTTTCTCTCCATTTTTCAAGAACTTCTCTACACTTGTCACTTGGGGAACGCAAGGAATCTGTTGCTTCGATGGATCTGATCTCGCCTCGCCGGTACCCCAGTTTGCGGGCCAAGTCCTGCCACTTGTAGCTCACGTTGGTGATGACTTGGTCGAAGTAGTTTCCCACGTCAACTGAAACGAGATCAATGTGATATCAACTGTAGTATTATTAGTGCGTTATGTTTGAAACCAATTTTGCAGGCCAAGACTTGCCACTTAAATGCCACTTTGTCGAGCACTTCTAAGTGCTAAATGGACATTCGCTCTGTGTTGGATGTGTTTGAACTGATTCAATGACTATAAATTTGAACACTTTTAGTAACAGATGCATCAAGGGTCAATTTTGGTTGGTTTTGGAACTGGTGTGAATAACCAATGGGGTAATTTCTTTAGCAACATAATGATTGCGATACTTAATGTGCATTTGCTTGATAATATAATGTAAATTATAAAATACTGCTCTCTGCTGTCTTCGAGAAAAAAAATCAATGACAGCCAGACAAAGTTGCTTAAAAAGACACCAATGTAGTTGAAAAGCGCTGTCTTACTGTAAGCAGCAGTCATGATACCTGTTGTGCTTTGGACTTTGAGTAATGTAAGGCCGAATGAATGGTAAAATTGATTACATAGATTATTAAGCTCTGTTTGGTATAATTTTGTTTCAGGGTGCAACAGCAATCAGTGCGATTCTTTATTGACACAACAAAAAGTACAGGGAATTTTGTATGCATATATATATATGGTCTTCTACAACTAAAGGTCTAACAAAGTTAATATTAGTTAAAGAACCAAAATGTGTTGTCATATGGTCTCCAAAACGTTGTCAGAGTGTTAAAAATAAGCTGGGCTCAAAAGTTTGGATACAGTCTTAACTAACCTTTGTTACTTTTGTTGGCCTCAGATGGGTGCTTCGGTCCTTCCTCCTGTGAAGTCAAGCAAAACGCAAAAGATGTTGCCAACAGCAGACTTTTCTAGAAGCACATGGAAACACACAGTATCCAGGAGCATTTTTAATTTATTTGTTGGTTAGTACATGGGCGTCTTCAACTTAGTAGAATAGATAGACCATGAGCTTGGGCTCGTTTACTGGGATATAGTGTTGCCCACCGACTTGTGGACTGCCTGACTCCCGAGGCGACATTGCCCCGAAGTTTTCTTTCAAACTTGTTCAATATCAATTTTTGTTGTTCAATTAGAGTTTTTCTTAATATCAGTTTCAGTACAGCATTTGTCTTTGAAAAAGCTGGTCTGTTTGTGTTTTAATTCTCTTGTCCCTTTTGTGATTAGCCTGCACAGAGGGGGAACCTGCTTTCAATTAAAACCCCCAAAGTGTGGTACTAACCAAAGAGTGGGGTGCTAATTTTATGCAACTGAGTTTTAGTACCACACCTTTTTGATTGTACCAGTTTTTTTTTTTGCACTATGGGGATATAAA